ATACAGTAATTATGTGTTATATTCGCGGTTGTAGCTAGAAGGGATACAGCTACAGGAAACCAACAATAAATAATTGTTTCTACCTATTAGATTGTGTTTTATTAAAGTCTACACCTACCCCAACCCTAAACCTACCCTTACAGTAATGCAGATACATTAAATATTGTTGTTCAGCATGAGAAAAAGGACGCAATATTGATGTGCACATGCGTAGTAAACCCTGACGGGTAGGATAAAATGTCAGGACACCGGCAGCTGTGGTTGCCAGAAAATGACCATAAAAAATATGGTAGCAACATTTTAGGTTTTACAGTCTTAACTTAAATTCACAGTAAAAAAAAATAAATAATATTCATTTACTGACGTAATGTTAATATACCAACCTATTAAAGTACAAGTATTTGTTTTGTACCTTTGTAATACACTGATAACCACCAAATACAGGTGAAAGTCACATGATGAAAGATCATAACAAACAGCTTTTCCACAAGCTGGGGAGGTAAATACTAATATATAGAAAGTGTCATGCACACAAATACTAAACACCATCATGGTAACACACATGATACTGAAATAATGCAATAAACATTAATTTAACAACACTGTCATGCAGGTAATTCTGGGAGTGTCAATTTTAGATTTTTCACTGTAAATTATACAATGACATTCTTTTTCACTTCCAAAAACTGTCATTTTAACAGTATATTCATTGTAATTACAGTTATTCACCGTGTATAGTATTGAAACTTACTGTTAACCAATTAACAGGTATTTACTGTAGCATTTTTACAGTCTTTTAATGTTAAAATCACACTCATTTTTTTACAGTGAATCTGATGCATGAAGTAATTTTTATTATTTTACTGCGATTCTACCTTGAGCATGATGCAGTTCCATGCATCTAATTGGCAGAAAAACAGAGGTATACCTTTATAATGAAGTAGGCCTGGGATTTCTCCTCTTCTCCCTCTGGTGCAGCCATAGAAACAGTAAGGATCTCGTACCTCTTCCTCATCTTGTCAATTTTGAACAGTCTCTCATTCACCGCAGCACTGACACCATTTGTCACAACCAACAAAGTGTAGAAAAAAATCAACGCAGGAATCAAATATATGACATGAAATCCAAGCACATACTTTTTTTCTGGACTTATAAAAAATGATTTATATAGCACTTACAAATTACACAATTAAAATAAGAACATATTTAAAAATGAAAAAAAAAAACATTTAAGTAAAAAAGAGAAAGCTATTAATCATAAATCATGGCATTCATTTATTTAAATTGTATTTATATATTTATTTCAGTACAAATCTAGCTTTCTAAGCCACACTAAATAATGAAATCCTTTTAAAACGCCATTGGCTAGCGCGCTCTTTAGTCAGTGGTGTTTTTACCTGAGCCCTTGTCTCTCCTGTTCAGTGAGCTTGGCCTGTTTAGCGAGCATCTCTCTGTGCACATGGATCTCCTCTTCTCTCTCTTTCATGGCCACTTGCAGCTGCAGACGTCTCTTCTCCAGGCTCAGCACTCCATCTGCTCGGTCATACAGCAGATCTCTCAGTCGCTGCACCTCCATCTTCAGGAGACCTTTCTCCACCATGCTGTCCTGAAGGGAGGAGACATGCACACGTGTGAGACAGATGCAAATGTGTTTTGTTGTTCTCTCCCATTTTTCACTGCTGATATTTTTTAAATGCTTTTGATAGAATAGGTAATCTACAATAGATTAATAATTCATTATACATTTGATCAGTTGTGCTGATAGCAAGTGCTGATGGTGGGGGAACATTTGTGGAATATATTAATAAAACATTCTGTTAATGAGAAATTGATAACAGAAGGCATTATCAAATTAGCCGAAATACTTAAAAAAAAAACAGGCAATAAACAAACAGGCAAGAGAGTAGAATTTTGCAAAGTTCTGTGGCTTTGGATGAAGAATTATGTCCAATTCTTCCAGGTCCAATCAAGTTATTCACCTGTTTTTTGAGCCTGAGTTTTTTCTGGTCTTTCTCAGAGTTGTCAATGAAGAGTTCCAGCTCCTGGATCTTGGAGGTCAGTTCTCTCTTTTCTGTTCCGATCTTCTCTGTGTCTTTCCTAACGCAGCGGATATCATCCTGAGAATATATGCACCATTAAAAACATCAATACACATCAAAATAATTTTATCCCAAAACCATGTTTCACCCCAAATTCAAAAGAAGAAAATAAGATGGATAGATGGATGGATAGATAGATAGATAGATTTTTTTACAATTCTTTGATGCATAGAAAGTTCAAAAGAACAGCATTTATCTGAAATAAAAAGCTTTTGTAACATTACTGATCTAAAACTTTTGAATGGTAGTGTATATATATATATATATATATATATAATACAGCAGATCTCTCAGTCGCTGCACCTCCATCTTCAGGAGACCTTTCTCCACCATGCTGTCCTGAAGGGAGGAGACATGCACACGTGTGAGACAGATGCAAATGTGTTTTGTTGTTCTCTCCCATTTTTCACTGCTGATATTTTTTAAATGCTTTTGATAGAATAGGTAATCTACAATAGATTAATAATTCATTATACATTTGATCAGTTGTGCTGATAGCAAGTGCTGATGGTGGGGGAACATTTGTGGAATATATTAATAAAACATTCTGTTAATGAGAAATTGATAACAGAAGGCATTATCAAATTAGCCGAAATACTTAAAAAAAAAACAGGCAATAAACAAACAGGCAAGAGAGTAGAATTTTGCAAAGTTCTGTGGCTTTGGATGAAGAATTATGTCCAATTCTTCCAGGTCCAATCAAGTTATTCACCTGTTTTTTGAGCCTGAGTTTTTTCTGGTCTTTCTCAGAGTTGTCAATGAAGAGTTCCAGCTCCTGGATCTTGGAGGTCAGTTCTCTCTTTTCTGTTCCGATCTTCTCTGTGTCTTTCCTAACGCAGCGGATATCATCCTGAGAATATATGCACCATTAAAAACATCAATACACATCAAAATAATTTTATCCCAAAACCATGTTTCACCCCAAATTCAAAAGAAGAAAATAAGATGGATAGATGGATGGATAGATAGATAGATAGATTTTTTTACAATTCTTTGATGCATAGAAAGTTCAAAAGAACAGCATTTATCTGAAATAAAAAGCTTTTGTAACATTACTGATCTAAAACTTTTGAATGGTAGTGTATATATATATATATATATATATATACAGTGGGTACGGAAAGTATTCAGACCCCCTTACATTTTTCACTCTTTGTTATATTGCAGCCATTTGCTAAAATCATTTAAGTTAATTTTTTTTCCTCATTAATTTACACACAGCACCCCATATTGACAGAAAAACACAGAATTGTTGACATTTTTGCAGATTTATTAAAAAAGAAAAACTGAAATATCACATGGTCCTAAGTATTCAGACCCTTTGCTCAGTATTTAGTAGAAGCACCCTTTTGATCTAATACAGCCATGAGTCTTTTTGGGAAAGATGCAACAAGTTTTTCACATCTGGATTTGGGGATCCTCTGCCATTCCTCCTTGCAGATCCTCTCCAGTTCTGAATGTTGAGATGTCTAAATTTATTTATAGAATTTCAAAAGTCTGATTTTAGTTTTTAGCATTTATGGGTTATTGTGGGTCCTATTTTTCCAAACGTTTGGATGAGGGTTATTATTATTGTTAATTAAAGCTAAAACTGTTCAATTAAAATGAAGCTGAAATAACATTTCAAAATATGACGTGAAATACCTAAACTAAATGAAAATTAGAAATGTATCTACGCAACTAACTAAAATAAGTTCAAGTAAACTTGAACTAAAATTACAAACAGGAAACGAACAAATACTAAAAATAACACTGAAATAAAAATAAATTCATCCTAAACCTAATAAATAATAATAAATACAAAATGGCAAAAGAATATAGCACAACTACTAAAATTTAAATAAAATTTAAAAAATGTAAATAAAAGCTAATTCAAAATATTCATGAAAACTATAATTTATAATAGTATATAAATAATACTAAAATAGCAGTGCTGTGGAATTTTGGACACTGAATGGTCAATACATTGTACACAATATAGTAATATTTATGAAACCATAGAGAAAGAGAAAGAGAGAGACAGCAGCCCCCTCTGTTTTTTTTAGCCATATGGCTATTCAATGCCAAACAAAATGATGCTCAGATTGGCAGTGAATTGCTGAAGAGTTAAAAGCAGACAAAGGAGTCAAACTCACTTTGATGTTCTGTTCCTGTTCTCTGTGCAGTTGCTCCATCTGTGCTGCTTGTTCTTCACCATCCAGCACCGCCTCCGTCACCATCTGCAGTTTCTCCTTCAGAGCAGCGTTATGCAGCTTTGCCTCTGTTTATTCCCTATAGTTTAGAAAATGGTAATAAAATGAGACAAGAACTCAGAGTTAAACTGTGTCAGAACAAATTCATCATGATAATGTTAGATAACACTTAAGCAAAACATGATCAGGTCAAAGTGTCTGAATAATTTTTGGTCCCAAATTTTACTGGTAGTCCACTGTATGAATAATATTTGGGTATAATTTGCATTATTTTGCTATCCTAACTTACATAAATGAACTATAGTGTCCTGCGCCTACTAGTAAAAAAATATCAAAAATTATATCTGGTGTCTGAATAATTTTTGGTTTGACTGTATATACAGTATGTATGTATAAGGTAACTACACTACTACTACTAAACGAACTAAAACCATAAAAAAATATTATTTACTTAAAAAAAACATTTTATTTCAGCTAATTGCCAACATTTCTCATTTTCATTTAGTTTAAGCACTAAAATAATTAAAGCTAAATAAACCATAACTAAAAACTAAATAAAATATAATCCAAAAATTTGATGATATATTATATAAAATGTGAATAGTATAGTAATGTGAATAGTATAGCATTGCTACTAAAATAACGCTGATACGTTATTATTATTTATTTCAATTTTTTGTGAGATTTACCCAGGTACTTTGTGTTACTTGGCATTCTCACTTTTTGTTTAACAATTGAGTGCTGCAAATGCATTCAACCCTTAAAAGTATTACAATATTGCTACTTGCATTGAATAAAGCGAGGACAGCTTGTGCAAGGCAGCCTTTGACATTTTCCTAAATGACAGCCGAACTGGCTATACGAAGTGACCCGACTCAAACAGATGATCCTACCACTGTTACTAGGAACTCACTCGAATCTTGCTTTCATCTTGCTTGGCGTACTTGATGATAGCCATGGTGTCTTCATCCTTGTGTGCTGATTCCTGCAGCCAGGCCTCCAGGGTCTGCTGATCCCAGTTCAGCTGACTCTTCAGCTCATCAAGCTTCTGGGTGGCTTTAAAGATGTTGTTCTGTGCAGATGATTGACAGAATTACATTAGGATTTTAACTACATTATAAAATAAACATAATGCGTACATACTGTTCAAAGATTTGGGGTTGGAAAGATATTTTTGAAAGAAGTCTCTATTTTTGATCAAGGCTGCATTTATTTGATCAAAAATGCAGTGAAACAGTAATACTGTGAAATATTATTACAATTTAAAAGAACTGTTTTAAAGGGGTCATATGATGCTTTTTTAAAGATCATTATTTTGTGTATTTGGTGTAACAGAATATGTTGACATGCTTTAATGTTCAAAAAACACATTCTTTTTCAAATACTGTACATTATTGTAGGTCCTCAATGCCCCGCCTCTCTCAAACGCTTCGTTTTCTACAAAGTCCCTCCTTCCGACAAGCGCAGTCTGCTCTGATTGGCCAGCTGACCCAGTGCATTGTGATTGGCCGAACATTGCTGTGCCGTTCTAAGTAATCTTAAAGATTCCTAAATGCATCTACTTTCGGAAGGCCAAATAAAGTGCTTTTGCTTTCGCCTAGAAACACACAGCGTCTCCCTGACATGCTGCTTCAACACTAACTGCGGTTACTGAAACCACACCTTCTTTCTATGCATGCACATTTGGGCAGCATTATGCTAATATTTCCACATAGTGAGATCTTATCTATGCACAATCAGCTTGTAACACTCCAAAGAGAGAGGAAAACTTGAACAGAAACAGTTTGAGAGAAGCGGGGCATAGAGGACTTACAATAATGTACAGTATTTGAAAAAGAATGTGTTTTTTGAACATGAAAGCATGTCAACATATTCTGTTACACCAAATACACAAAATAATGAGCTTTAAAAAAAAGCATCATATGACCCCTTTAACTTCATTTCAATGTCCTCAGACTTTTGAACTATAGTATGTGTGTTCGTATACATTTGTAGTTTGTGAGCCACCAATGAATAGTGGTTGTGTGTCTTTATATTGCTTTGACAGTTTCTGCATAAGCAGAGGTTACATCATATGGATGGTGTATATGTGTCAGCTGCAACCTCTTGCGCGTTCTTCTTCTCATTCAGTGTTTTCAGCTGATTCTCCAGCTGAGTGACCTCTTGCTTCAGGCGGCCTGTCTCTCGCTCCGCCAGTGCTCTGAAATGCACCTCTGATTCAGTCTCCTTCTCTCTGGCTTTGCCATTTAAATGTCCTCAGACTTTTGAACTATAGTATGCGTGTTTGTATACATCTGTAGTTTGTGAGCCACCAATGAATAGTGGTTGTGTGTCTTTATATTGCTTTGACAGTTTCTGCATAAGCAGAGGTTACATCATATGGATGGTGTATATGTGTCAGCTGCAACCTCTTGCGCGTTCTTCTTCTCATTCAGTGTTTTCAGCTGATTCTCCAGCTGAGTGACCTCTTGCTTCAGGCGGCCTGTCTCTCGCTCCGCCAGTGCTCTGAAATGCACCTCTGATTCAGTCTCCTTCTCTCTGGCTTTGCACAATGCCTGAACACATGCGAACATCGCATCTTACACACCAGAAAAACAAAGGAAGGAACTACAATTATCTCGTAACTTACGTTACCTGAGTGTGGGAAACCTCCTGTCTTAGATTTTTTAGGTGTTCAGTCAGAGCATTTATCACATCCTTGTTTTTATTGATTTTGTCCCCAAGATTGAATTGCTCTTTTTGCTTCTTTTGAAGCTGTGGAGCGAAGAAAAAATGGATTTACACACACCTCTCTTAAACACCACATGAAGTCAATTAGCAGATAAACGTCTCACTCACCCCCTCCTCCAATGCTTTATTCTCCGCATTAGCTACAGGGATGGCAAAACCCGCGTCCCAACCAACTTCTGCTAACAGGGTGTTAGACATTTTGTTGTTTCAGAGACGTTCAGGAGGAAAACATCTGAGATTAGGCCTGCCAGACATTTACGAAGGCCGTAGTTTATCGTTGTGTTTTCAAGAGTCGTTTCCTAGCAACGACGCTAACAGCGATGTGCCGTATTCAACCGATAGGTGACGCCAAACGCTCCTTTATCGGGCAGCAGAATTAACACTAAAGTGTTTTACAAAATATTACGTAAGATTTATCCGGTTAAGCATGTTTTGGAAAGATTTAAACGAAATATTATTAAACATTTCACTAAACATTTACATGTGAATTTTGTGGACAACAAAAGGAAACACTGCATGCAATGCAAGATCATTTTGGAAAGATTTAGAAATCTATATTAATAGAAAACTGGGATGTACAACAGAGATTTGAGTGCTTGATGTGTTTTTTTTTCCAGAAGGAATTTTTTGAAAACATAAGCACAACAGTTATTTATTTTACTTGCAAAATATCAAAGTTTTCACATTTTATAAATGGCTTTCAATTATATATAAACCTCCTAGAACAAAACAATAAAAAAGCACTGAAAACATGCAACACTTTAAAAGCGCCGAAACGTTGGAATTTTATTTTTGTTTTTTCTGGCAACCGTTTATAATTTGATTACGTAATACCTCTATGTAATTCTGTGAATTAAAGTTCTGTTTAATTTTGTGTAATTTTGTTTCCTCGGGTTAAAAGTCCCTTATAGTGAAATATCAAAACAATGATTTAAAACCTGAAATTAATTTTAGAAATCATTTACTATCCCTCATGTCATCCCAAGCCTGTATTTCTTTTGTAGAACATAAAATATTAAATATAATATTTATATAAATATAATGGAAGTCCATAATGATAACCAAAACTGTTTGGTATCATCTTTTGTGTTAGAACAAAACAAAGAAAGTCATACAAGTTTGGAACAACATGAGGGGGAGTTAATGAGGAGTTTCATTTTTGCGCTGAACTACCACACACACACAAAATATTTTCAAGGCCATCTGACTTTATTCATCAACTATAACTTGATTTTATTGTATGGATTATGTGACTTATCAAAGTGCTGAATGAACTGCAAACACAGTATATCAATACATCAAATGGAGTCATTAATCAAGGAAAACTGAGGTAATGTTCAAATTAATATTATTTCTAGGATTGTAAAATATAATATTCTCAGTTATTATGACCTATCGATTTAATCAAAACCAAACAAGCAAAGTGAAATCACTGTCTGGATATCAACAGAAAAAGTACATTAAGTCACAATAAACAAACAAACAAACAAAAAGAAAGCAAATGTGACTGGCTCTCAAGACACCAGTTACTCCGTTTTATAAAAAAAAAGAGAAAACAATCAAAAAACTTTGATGTATAATTTTCATAAAAACCAAACGGAAAGAAACAAACATTCAAAGCAAGAATGCACATGTAGTACTAAAATGAAGATCTTGACATTTCCTAACTGTATCCGTGACAGCTTGTTTCATCTGGATGAGACCGCTGAAGTCCCATAGATTGAATAAGATCCTGTGTGAAGTCAAAACAAAAACCAGCCCAAAAAGATAAAAGCTCAAACCACCATTAGACGACTGAAGAGAAAAGATGCCTTTATTGTCTCTGGTTTGTATAAATGTCTCAGTCCTGAGGGCTTGGAAAAGGCAATGCAGATCTCAGTTCAGTCCTCTGTGCTCGGCAGAAGCTGTTTGTTTTCAGTGAGGTCCAGACGGCCCTCAGAAGGAATGTACTTATACTGCTGTACTCTTGGTGCCAATGTACGGTCGCGCAAACTCCACAAAATCATCAATAAGAACTGGCCATGCTCCTAAAAAAGGGGAGAAATCAGAAGTATGAATGTGAGCTTCACTTTGAATTTTACTCACATGATTAAATTAATGAATGTTAACTAGTTCTTTGAGAATATATATATATATATATATATATATATATATAAAAACATACATATATATATATAATGTGTGTATATGTAAAACTGTTGAGGGGATATTGATATCTAAATATCTAAAGCCATGGCAACGTGTCAAACGTGAATATTATTGCACACACACACACACACACACACACACACACACACACACACATATATATATATATATATATACATACATACATACATACATACAGTGGGGCAAAAAAGTATTTAGTCAGCCACCAATTGTGCAAGTTCTCCCACTTAAAAAGATGAGAGAGGCCTGTAATTTTCATCATAGGTATACCTCAAATATGAGAGACAAAATGAGAAAAAAAATCCAGAAAATCACATTGTAGGATTTTTAAAGAATTAATTGGTAAATTCCTCGGTAAAATAAGTATTTGGTCACCTACAAACAAGCAAGATTTCTGGCTCTCACAGACCTGT